CCGCCCGTTACCTTCCGCAGCTGGGCCGGCACAGACACGGCCGCGGACTCCTCGTTTCGTATCATTTGCCCCGCGCCTACAGACCACTCAATCGCTGCCTCGATCGAGTCGAAACGTGCGGGGACCTTCTGCACCCGCTCGTGCATGTGCCCCAACGACTGCATGGCGGCCCCCTCCACCATGTCCACTACGCAAAGTCCTCGCACCCTGCCTATGCTCGCCAAGCCAGGGTCCCGCGCCAAATGAATGGCGCATGCCCCCCCCAAGCTGTGCCCCACAAAGACCATGTTGCGTGGTTTTCTACCTACTCCTGCATCGCCTGCCCTTCCTCTTCCTCCAAGGTCAAACCAGGCCTGTAAACATCCCAGGAGCTCCTTCACCAACCGCACCATCGACATGTCTCCGTCGTCCGGAATGACTCTTGTCTGTCCATGGAACGGCAAGTCCGGGGCCAGCATCAAGGTTTCCGACGCGACGCTGCCGAGTAATTTCCCTAACTCTAGGCACGGCAACGTCCAGCTCATGGATGTATGACCTGCCCCATGGAGAAATACCAACACCGTTTCTTCTCCAGTCGCGTCCGCGTCCGAATCATCGTCGAGGTCCCCGTCCGTGTGTTCACCGGATGGACGACGGCCCTCAGCCGTCTCCTGCTTCTTGTGCGTCCCGGAAGCAGTGGAGGAGAGGAGGTTGCCACCGGCATAGCTGACACAAAAGCTGCTCCCGGTCGATGGAACCAACACTTGAGCTTGTTGCCATCCCGACGGGACAGGGACCTGTGCGATGGGCATCTGTACAGACCCTGGGGTGGGTACAGAAGCGTCAAAAGGTGGGCCGACATGAGTGCATGTTATAGGATTCCTCTTTTCTGCGGCCGTTAACGCACCAAAAGTGGATGCTAGAACAAACACAAATTCTGAATCCCGATGACAGTATGCCGAGGGTACCACCGTCATTGTCTGCAGTCACATGTCGGGCACTGCGAGCCATGTCAATAAATAGCAGGCAGCGAGGATGGCTTTGGCAGTGTTAGCTTTCTGCGTGTAGTTGAGGTTGTAGTAACGCTGGGCAGGTAGCTTTACCTGTCTGTGGCTTGCCAACCAGTCGCACAGCAAGACAAACCCATGACACACTTGGTATTTCTTGATGGAATGCGATTTAGTCATGTCACATGAATGCCTTCATAAATCGGTGCGCAATGACACGTGTCCTCCTGGTTTGCTTATGTTTCCCTCCCAGGGCAACCTTTTCCTTTTTCCTCCTTTCGCGTCGGCTCCGATTACCTGGTGGATTGGATGAATTTGGAAGATCATCAAGCGCTCCTCCGACTGGCCGGCCATGGAAGCTCAGCAATGAAGCCACGGCCTCCAATAGTGACGGACTACGACGTTCTGAAACGACATTTTCGATTTGCGTGGAGGAAGGGCGAGGACGACGATGTCAGTACATGGGGTGCGCGCATGGCAAAGCGGTACTTCGACAAGCTGCACAAGGAATTTGTGCTGGCCGACTTGAGTCGGTGGAAGGAAGGAAAAGTGGGCTTGCGGTGGCGCGTGGAGAGAGAGGTGGGTCTGAGCGGTAGGGGACAAGGGAGATGGGAGGCTCGACTCAGGCCCGGGAGGGGCCTCGGAGAGGTGTTGAGGAGTGGCCCATACACTCCTTATTTTTAGCGCCAGGCAAGGGAGTGACATAAAGACACTTCAGTCTTCAAAGAGCCGTCCCGAACCGTCTTCGTCCCTCCTCATCATCCCGGCGGGCGTCTTCCATCCCCCTCAACCTCCCTTTAACGTCTACCCCTCCATTTCCATCGTCCAGGTGGTGGATGGGACTGGGCAGTACGCCTGCGGCTCGTTAGGTCTTGGTTGCCGGGCGCGGGAAAGTTTGGCGAGCTACGAACTCAATTTTAGGTACCGGGAGAAAGGGGATGTGCGGAACGAGCTGGTGAAGGTGAGGCTGTGTCCTGACTGCAAAAACCTCTTGGATCAAGCGCGAGGGGGGAAAGGAGGGCTGGGGGCTGGGAGGAAGGAGAGAGGATACGGGAACACT